GGTCTATCCGAGAGAAAAAGTACCTCACAGTCCTGAACAAAGAGGGATGCCATGAGAATAAAAAAGGGAAAGAAACAAAAATAATATTGTCGCTTAAAGAAGTGTTATACAATACACAAATATATTGCAACGGCCACCACAACCCAAGCAAGTGTCTTGAATGAGTGCCTAACTATAAACCAGATCCTGAGGATTATCAATATATACCTTATCTGACATCCTTTTGAAAAGAGAAAGAACTCTAAAAGGGTTCAGAATATCGTTAGACACATTATAGGGTGCCCTAAGATCCTCCGATACTACCCCAGCATCCTTGGATCTTGAACGATAATGCAGTATTCCCAACATAGATACAGCCTTCTTCACCGAACCTACAATAAAATCATATAAATATATGTTCAATAACTATTAATATCAACACCTTTCAAAAAAAAAAAAAAATCACTTATCAAAAAGACTACTCATGCCAACACCAGCACTCATAATGACGTTAAAACCACCCCCCCCCCCCCCCCCCCCCCCCCTACATCTCAATAACACATGCTCTAATATGTGTCTCCACCAGTGCATAATGATGATGGAAACACGTAACTACGAAGCCTTCATTCATCAAAAATATAACCAAAGACCTAGAATAATTTGAAATTTTCTAGGACAAGTTAACATCCAATGCATGCTGACATTGCCAAACAGTATACATACATAGAGCTGAGATTAAGAGCTCGTAAACTTTTTTGACCTAATTCTAATCTAGTAAACAAATGAGTTTCTAATAGAAGTAGCAGAAGAAATATCGGATCGCATATTACCTACAAGAAAGGAAGTACAAAATAAAGCAGAATTTCAATAGGTTAACACAACTCCCACTTCTTAAGACTTCAATCATACCCATTACCATCCGAGAACATTTTGAACATTTCCTAAACTATGACAGTGCTTTTTGGTTGAATCAGTAAGTATTTTCTAAAAAAAAAACATATCAAATAAAAGGAAAATGAGTTTGTTCTTAACAAGAAACCAAAATTTTCATTGAGTTAATACGAAGGGCTAATACTCAAAGATCAAACCTCCCACAAGGGGGAGAGAGAAACCCTTACACTAAAAACTGTCCTACACGTCCCAAGACTATCTAATAGTCTAAGCTCCATACAAAAGCTTACCCTTGACACCATTATCTAATGAATAAGTAGTGTAGCCTCACCTCCTCCTTTCTAGATAGAAATTAGCCCATCCCTTCCAACTATGGCTAGTAGTAATGAAGTTCATCATAAAAATCCCAATAACTCCTCGACCCACCATTCGCAAACGTAATATGACTACATCCATTATGTTCTCCATTTTCAAAACTCTCCAGGATAGAGCTTCGATACCAAGATTGATAGAACTCACAAAAGAAAGAAATTTAAGACTATCTAACTTGAAAAAAAAAATGTACAAAATAAAGTAGAGTTTCAAAGGTATATAATCCCCACACTTCCCAAGACTTCCCATATCCTTTGTACTACTCAGACGTCAAACAACTTATATCCTACCTTGTTCACTTCCTAGAATAAGTTAGGGAAATTGTAGATCTCCCAATCCCAATCGTGAGGGAAATGGCCCAAGAGTCGGCATTGGTGTATCCTAAATGTCAATGGAGATAAATTCACCAAGAAATCTAACCCAAAGGGTTTTGTATTCAGGTAGGTAATACAAGAACTAACCCTCTAAGGGGCAGCTATATTTACAAGCCCTTTAAGATGTGGAGTTAAACAATCAATTATAAGGCCAGTATTCTGCAGATGCAGCCAATCACATGCTGTAAGATTCAAACAAGAAAATGGAAGGCCAATGCACCATGCAAGAACACATGAAAAAACGAAGTGAATTGCCTTTTTATTTTATAATCAGGATCCCAATCATGCACGAGCATTTTCAAATCTATTATAGTTGAGGATGAATTCCCTTGTCTCAGACATAATTTAGGAAACAAATAAAAGCAAGCACCCAAGGATGAGAGAAGTCTTAGGCACAGAGCTGAATAAATTATAAATAACATATAAATGGAAGTTATAAATAACATATAAATGAGCTTAGCTTGAGTATACATAAAAAATAAAGGTGAAATCCAAACCATTTAAATATCCACATCCGGAGCACTTCATGCTTTTATTGTTACTTGTCAAGGCAGTACACTTCTTTATGATTTTTTTCGCAAGCTCACTCTTCCGCAAGGGTTCCAATTTAGGATTTCGCATCTTCCTCAAAAAATCATTATAAAGCTTCTCTTCCAGAAGTATTCGAGAACATGACTGTAAAGAAACTTCCAGACATGAGAAATAATGTTCCAAGAGAATTCACACTAATTCAGGGAAAGCAACACGCTTATCTTCTCAGTACCTTGCAAATACATTTTAGTATTTCCAATATTGTAGTAAAATAACCAACATTGAAAACAGGCAGAGCAAGACTCAAGTATCCGTAATGTCCCGGGCAATCACCAAAATTGGCATGGCACGTCGCACATTTACAGCCCTTATTGGCAGGCCCCTGAGATAAAATCCCAAGTGAAAAGGCAAACATAATGAAAATATGAATTAGAGACATTTGCAATCATGGCCCCAGCATCAATATAAGAATCTAATACCCCTATCAATATAAGATTATAACATTAATCCCCCTAACAATATAAGAATTTATACCATTAATCCCCCTAACAATATAAGAATTATACCATTCGAGGATCCAGCAAGCCGCCGTCGATCGGTTTTCTAGTGGTATCATAATATAAACCTTTATACACCTGGACTTCAGCCATTTTGCTAATTTCAGATCCAGAGAAGGTACTGAACTGCATGCTCTTACTGCAGTAAGAGCAAATAAAAATGTAGAATCAGACTAGTAACGACAGGTTCTTAATTCAGCTATTAAGAAGTTAGACCAAAAGAAACTTACATTTTACGAGGGCCGACATCCTCAATGTATGGCTGTTTGGTGAACACCAGACCCTCCACTTGTGTTTTATTCATCCCCGATCAACAAAGAACACAACAATATGTGCAGAATACTCAGGCGGACGGCGACGGCGACGGCGAACGGCGGACGGAGGGTCTTTTCATTCGATTTTATATGGCGATTTCAAAGATTTGCCACCCAACCAAAAGAACAAAAAGTTGAACATTCGATTTTGGCAAATAAAAAGTTGAGTAAAGAAGATCGAAAACCCCTAACAAAACCCTACTGTTTGTAATTTCTAATAGAACAAAAAAGGAGAGATTTTTAACCGTCCACGGCTCGTGATACTGTCAATTCGATTTTAAATTTCCTTTTTATATATATATATATATAGATATTTCAAATACTTTTTTAATAAATAAATTTTATTCCTTCAATATAATTTCTATTAAATAGGAGTAGAACCTTCTAACAATTAAATAATATTTCATAAACAAAAATATAATAAATAATAAATATATATAAATAGTGAGCATGTAATAAATCTTCCAACCTCCAATTATAAAACAATGGGACTTTTTTTATAAATATTATTAGTTATTTAGATTATAACAAAACCATGTTTAAACTATATAAAATATATATTTATATATTTATTGTAATATTAAATTTTGATTTTTTAAAAATTATGTTACTTTTCAGGTGTATTGATTTTTTTTTTTTTGTAGATCAATGCTTGCAGGTTCAGATAATGGCACGGTCGGGTTGTTTTGTCTCGAATGGGTCAGAGGTTGGTTGGCCCCTATTTGAACTATTTAGATCTGTTGAATGATGAAAGTCTCACATCGGCTAATTTAGGTAATGATCATGGGTTTATAAGTGAGGAATACTAACTCAATTGGTATGAGGCCTTTTGGGAAGCCCAAAGCAAATCCATGAGACTTTATGCTCAAAGTGAACAATATCATATCATTGTGGAGAGTCGTGTTCGTCTAACAAGGTCCATTGGTTTATCTCGTGTGTATGCATAACTAACCCAACAAGAGAATTTTTTTACGGAGTATTTACAATATTCACCATTTTGAAAATTCGTAATGTGAGGGAGCACTTGTGACCATGAGAGATAGTCGACTTGTTACTATCATTTACTATCAATTTTTACTTTTTCAATTAAACTTTCGAAAGTTTCGATAATATCCTTAAATAAAAAATAAATAAAAATTTAATTACAGATAGTTTTGGATGAACCATTTTAATACCTTATTTTAAAAATACTTAAAACTTTCAAAAGGGTTTACAAAATACTGTTCAACCCTTTAAATTTTTTTAAAAACTTAAAAAACACTTTTTAAATATTTTTAAAAGCTTGAAAAATACTTTTGATTTTTTTAAAGAATTAAAAAAAAAAAAAAAAAAAAAAAAAAAAAAAAAAAAAAAAAAAAAAAAAAACTCTTACAATAGTAACATTAAAAAATATTAAAAGATTGGAAGATAATTTATAAGGTATCGATAGGATGTAAATACTACTTTTAATTTTTTTTTTATGGATATTTTTTAAACATAATACCAACAATATTTTTGAAATGATATTAATAAAACATTTTAAGATTAATTAAATATTAACGGTGGTAAAAATATTATTTAGATCTATTTTTTTTTTAATTTAAGGGATAGGAAGTCTTAAATGTTTATAAGTTTTAATTTAACCAAATATTTACTAATTGGAATTAAAATTTTAAAAAGGTAAAATTTCGAAAAATGTTAAAAATTTGTTCGGTAATTTTTAAAGTTTACGCATTATATAGATATAAAATTAAAAATTAAGGGGTATATTTGACATTTTATATAAAATTATTGTTATTTATATAAATATAACATTAAAATTGGTTTTCCGTTATAAGAAGAAATAATGTCATTCTTATTAGTTATTAGTGATCTGTGACGATAATCGACCAATCAAAAGCTTTCTCATTTCCAGCTCGACAATTATTTTTTCTAATATGACTAACGGCGTCGTTTTGGCCCATTGACCTTTGGTCATCAGTCGCTACTCTTATAAACCCTTCCAAACTCACCAGATCTGTTTCGGATCCGAAATTCTTCTCACAATGGCTACTCGAACTCTTCTTCTTCTTGCTGTGGCTGCTCTGCTTCTCTTCTCCAATTCCGTTCTCTGTAAAGATGATTCCCCTGCCAAAGATCCACCCGCCAAGGCCACCGACGACGATGATGAAGATCTCAGTTTTCTAGAGGAGCCGAACGAGGCTCACGGTGCCTCCGGTCATAATCTACCTGATTTTGATAATTTCGAAGGAGGAGCTGAGGATGAGGATTTTGGGGACTTGTCAGACTTCGAAGACTCGGAAGGTGACGGGGATGAGCACAAGGCGCCGGTTGTGGATGACAAGGACGTTGTCGTCTTGAAGGAGGGTAACTTCAGTGATTTTGTCAAGAAGAATCGGTTTGTTATGGTGGAGTTTTATGCTCCGTGGTGTGGTCATTGCCAGGCGTTGGCGCCAGAATACGCGGCTGCGGCCACTGAATTGAAGGGCGAGAACGTGGTTTTGGCGAAGGTTGATGCGACGGAGGAGAACGAATTGGCGCAGCAGTATGATGTTCAAGGATTTCCTACTGTTTATTTCTTCTCTGATGGAGTACACAAGCCTTATCCTGGACAGAGGACCAAGTAAGTGTACTGAATTATAAGTTTATTTGGCTCTGATTGATGCTTCCAAAATGGAGCTAATGTTCGACTTCAGATTTGTGTTTTTTACTTCGAGATCTAGATATTTGAAATGTTTACTACAATGCGTTGGTAAGTCAACGTCATATTACATCTCTGATCTATGCGTGTGCACTGTTCATGGTTTACATACGTATTTATACGCTTATTGCCACGTCTTTTTACAGGGATGCTATAGTAACCTGGATCAAGAAGAAGACCGGACCTGGTATTTACAACATAACTTCGGTGGAAGATGCTGAACGGATTCTGACTTCTGAAACTAAGCTTGCTGTTGGTTACCTGAACTCCTTGGTGGTGAGTTTACTCGGTTCTGTTTGTTTTATGTGCTGTTCCCTTTATATGCTTGCATTTATGACTTTTGATTTGAAATGTGATGCCATTTCTTCGATCGACTTCATGAACTGTACAAATCTATACGGATACTGTAGTGTCAGTTGGCTCAATGGACAAATCTATACGGATACTTACTATTTTCTTCATGATCTCGTGTTGCTATTTGACAGGGCTCTGAGAGCGATGAGCTTGCTGCTGCTTCAAGACTGGAAGATGATGTCAACTTTTACCAAACGGTGAATCCTGAAGTGGCAAAGCTTTTCCACATTGAAGCTTCAGCGAAACGCCCTGCCTTGGTCCTGCTTAAGAAGGAGGCTGAAAAACTGAGCCGCTTTGGTTAGTTTATTACTTCGTTTTTTAGTAATCACTTTAAGAGATTCCTTAAAATGAGATATTTGTCTGGATTGAAATTGACTGAATTTCGTTTCTGGTACAGATGGGGAGTTTTCCAAGTCTTCAATTGCTGAATTTGTTTTTGCCAATAAGCTTCCTTTGGTTACAACGTTTACTAGAGAAAGCGCACCTTTGATTTTTGAAAGTTCAATTAAGAAACAGGTATTGTAGTATAAAATATGCTCCTTGAAATGGATATCACCTTGAACAACTTTGTTTGTGAAGTTCAGCTCAAGAATTCATTTATTCTTGACACATTTGTATTTTTCTCGCAGTTGATTCTATTTGCAATTTCAAATGATTCAGAGAAACTCCTCCCAATATTTGAAGAATCAGCGAAGTCTTTTAAAGGAAAGGTACAGTTGTTGATAAGTAGACCTTTAACAATTAACTTTAGCTTTTCCAGGCTGCTAGCCCAACAATATAGATTGTGCTCATTAGCTCATCATGTTTCTTACTACATTTTATTTAATAGGACTGTAACTATTGGCTATGAACAGAGTAGGGTATTTGAACTATAATTTTATTGTCCATAATCGGGAAGCAAAACTCAAAATCAAAGGCTCGGTCTCTGTGAATAGGAATATATGTTGCCCTTGCGTCGTAAATTCAGAAAATTGTCTTGTTTGTTTCATGTAGCTATTAACGAGGAGTTGTGAGATGCATTTTTATGCTGGACTTCTGATTTGTAGTTGCAGCATTTTGCAATCCAAGGGCTGCTCTCTGTATTTTCATTTTAAATTTTGTATGTTTGATGCAGCTCATTTTCGTTTATGTGGAGATTGATAATGAAGATGTTGGAAAGCCAGTATCAGAGTATTTCGGCATTAGCGGCAATGGTCCACAGGTTTCATTTCTAGATACAATTTACAGATGTTTGCTTAACTTTATTAAAGCTCAAGATTGGCAAGTCTAAATTAGTGTAATATGCATTTGGATTATATGAAAAATGGTAATAGGTTATGGAAACACGAGTTCGTGTAATCTATACTTTTTTTGGTGCATGTATGATTTGTAAAATTGAGTAGGTATTAGGTTGTATAACATCCTTGAGCTTTTATTTTCATGTGTTTCCAAAGTTCGAAATGAAAATACTACAATGAAAAAATAATTTTACAAATTGGCTTTGAAATTGAAAACATGGCAGTAAACTCTTTCATAAATGAATGCAACTCAAATTTCAAAACATATTCTACTTCACTTGAAATCGGGATGGTGCGAAATTTCTGCTTGATGAGGAAGTTCAGTCGAACTTGGTTGTTTGTATATTTAAATGTCGTGATGAAATTCAAAATTTTGCTTTCATATAGGTTCTTGGATACACTGGAAATGAGGACAGCAAGAAATTTGTGCTTGATAAGGATGTTACCTTGGAAAATATTAAGGTCCAGCAATTCATCTTCCTTCCTATCCCCGTAAAGAGTCTTGTTTACTTTCACTTCTCATCTAATTTCTAGTTTCCCATCCGATTCAATGGATAGGCTTTTGGAGAAAATTTCTTGGAAGACAAGCTAAAACCCTTTTATAAGTCAGATCCCATTCCTGAGACTGTGAGTTAAACTCACTCACTTTTCCTGTCAGTATAACTTACTTTTCATATTTGATCTCTAGAATGTGTTTTTTCCTTATTCGTGTAGAATGATGGTGACGTGAAAATAGTGGTTGGAAATAACTTTGATGAAATTGTTTTAGATGAATCCAAGGACGTTCTCCTCGAGGTATCGAGTAATTCAACAAGTATTTAGGTGTTCGCCCTCTCATGTAGTTCTTTATATACTAAGTTAGGTTTCCTTTCCAGATTTATGCTCCTTGGTGTGGGCATTGCCAAGCACTGGAACCAACTTACGACAAGCTTGCTAAACATCTACGTGGCATCGATTCACTCGTCATTGCTAAGATGGACGGCACAACAAATGAGCATCCCCGGGCAAAGGTATCGTGATTTTGTTGTCTCCTATTTGCATTTACCATTTACACATTGGAAGGAAAATCCCTATCACTCGATGGGTGTTTTGGTTTTAGGCCGGCCTCGTTTGATTACCATTTGATTTTTTGAACATTGGGGATAAAAAACAAATTTATAAAAAACTACTATCATGTAGTCTTCAAAACTTGGCTTCTATTTTAAAAACCAGTTCACAATTTTCAAAATTTGAAAGATCAAACGGTTATCCACCCACTGGGGATACTTGTTTTTTTTTTTTTTTTTTTTTTTTTTTTTTTTTTTTTTTTTTTTTTTTTTTTTTTGCTATAATTTTTTTTTCCCTTTATATTTTGGGACCTCGATGGAACATATGAGATAAAGTACGTTACATAATCCGTTTTAGGGATTGATGACTTACCCATTCAGTGACTTTGGCACTGGACGTTTCAAAAATGGTGTACTATCGGGTGGTTTAGTCAAATAGTAGACGCCTATTGTCATTCTAGCCTTCCTTCTCCTTTCAGTGTCTACCCGGAAGAGAATCCAGTGTTTCTTGGTCATGAATATCTGAATAGGACGGACTGTCCCGTGGTTTGCTTTGAAACAAAACAATTAGAATTAGGCTTGTTGATCTGGGATGTCTATTATCCATATAGGGGATCTTTCAAGGGAGAAGATCCGTCGACCTAAGACTAAGAGAGAAGGGTCTATCTATTTTATTTAGTTATCCAATTAAACCAATGGATGAAATTTCATCCAGGTGTATTTTCCAAGGATTGAACTGAAACTTATTAGAAAATTGTTTGCTCTTTGTTGTTTCAACAGTCCGATGGATTCCCAACAATTCTGTTCTTCCCTGCGGGAAATAAGAGCTTTGATCCTGTAAGTAAAACATCACTCATAATCTTTGATTCATAGTCTCTCTTTATTCATTGTTGTATATTGCCCCGCTTGCTCCCGAGAAGTAATCGGATCTGTTTCGATTTCTAGATCACTGTCGATACCGATCGGACAGTCGTGGCGTTCTACAAATTCCTAAAGAAAAATGCATCAATCCCATTTAAGTTACAGAAGCCAGTTTCTTCAAGTGCAAAGGCCGAGGATGGTGAAGGCAAATCCGGTGATGATGCCAAAGAAAGCGGAAAGAAGAGCAGCACCACTGACGTAAAGGATGAATTGTGAAGAGGTATTGTAGTTTTGTAAGTTATGCATTATCTTTTATTCCCCTTTTTGTTGCCTCCCAGATTTGTAGACGACAATACTACAAACCAAAAATCGAAACAAAACACCGGATTTTCCCCCCTTACTAGAGAAGTCTTGAAAGAAACTAATAACATAGATGCCTATTTTATTTATTTATTTATTTTTAGTTTTTTCAATTTAGTTTCAGTATCTCTACGTTTTAATTCTATAAAATATAAAATACGTCCTTAGTACTGTACTAAAACCTTCAAAAGTAACGATAATGCCTTTTAATTTTTAGAGAAAAAAATTTAGAAATAATTTATAAGATGTAAATTGACGTTTTAGTCCTTAAAAAAATTTTAAATATTTTTTTATAATAAAGATTAAGGGTGAAATGTTACTTTAAAATTTCTTGTGAAATTTTTTTGAGTATTTCTTACCACAGTACTAAAGATGTTTCTTTCTTATATTTTGAATTTTTAAAATTTAAGTATGTTTTTTTAAATACTTTTAAAAATTCAAAAGTAGTTTGGTATTATTTAAACTTAAAAGGGATATTTTTTTAGATCCTTTTTATTAATTTAGTAAGAAAAAAACTATAAAAAAAGAAACATTTTGGTTATCATTGAAGAGTTTATAGTATCCAAAATGATCTCTCCAACCATTAGTGGTATTTCCCCAACATTCTATTTGTATTGGACCAAATATAATCATTTTTCATTCTCTATCATATTCTTTTAAATAAAAAAATAAAATAAAAATTGGTGGAAAAACAACTCAATGCCCAAAATAGGTTGAAATTTAGCTTCCAATGAAGGGTTTAGTTTAGTTATTGAATTTTTAAAATTGTATCTAATATATTTCAAATAAAAATAAGAGTATAATTGAAATATAGTTGATTCAACTATTGTAAGTAAGAGGTCGGTCAGTTCAGAGTTGACACTCAATATGTGATGTTCCTTTATTTTAAAAAAAGATTTTTGAATATTGAAAAGTGCCTAATAGATTCATAAATTTTTAATTTGTATCGGAAACTTTTAATTTTATATAATATACATTTAATTAAATTTTAAAAAGTTTGATTAGATGGATTTTCATTTCGACGAAGGACTTAAAATTTTATTTCAAAATATTTTTAAACTTCTTTAGAAGTTTAAAAAAGTATTGTAGGCTTTCAATTTTTTTTAAAAAATATATAATTTTAAATAGAAACCATTAGTACGTCTTCAAAATTATATTACATTTAAAAAATATTCATAAACTTTTCAAAGCAACATTAATGCCTTTAAACTTAAAATAAAAAATTCTAAAACTTGAGGACGATCTATAAAGTGTATAGACAGATGATTTTAGTTCAAATATTTTAAAATATTTTTAAAAAATTTAAAGGTATTATTAAAATATATGAAGGTGTAAAGATATATATATATATATATATATATATATATATATATATATATAGAGAGAGAGAGAGAGACATTTTTATTAATTTAACAAGGTAATAGAACATTTATTTTCAATATCCTCCTAATATCATAGGAAGATGAGCTGACTATAGTTAGTTCCGATCCAATCACCCATATAATATTAAAAAATTAAAATAAAATAAACATTATATATTTATATATTTAATTATTTATTTATTTTTATTTTTTTAAAAAGTAATTTGTGTTGACTTTGTGAACTCGAAGGCAACTCCTTGAGCATCTTCCTCTTAACTTTAAAACAATCACTTTTATTTTTTCCCTGAAAATTTCAAAATCCCAACGCCGCCTCTCCCGGTGTCTCCTCCGTAACACTCGCCGGTCAGCCGTCGCCTCCGCCGCTTTCTCCTTCACTCCACCTACGTGGCTCAATCTCGGCCGTCCGTCTACTTTCCGTGCTCGTGAATCTAGGCCCCTCGCTTTTTGCTCATCCCGAAACAAGATTTCGAGAACAGATCTGCTTCCAAACCAATCCACTCTCTTCTAAATTCTCGCTTTCTTTTCCACTTCCTTTCAACTGCTCGGATCGTGTTCTTCATTCGCCTTCTTCTGGATTTTGTAGAAGATTCGAGAAAATATGGCCAAGGTCACATCAATTTGTTGCGCGGTTCTTTCGGTTCTGCTTTTGGCGCAGTTCTCTGTTTCTGTGGATTCTCCCGCGGAATCTCCCGCTCCGCCACCGCAGACTGGCGCGGATTCCCCTCCGCCGCGTTCTCCTTCGAGAATCTCCAGTCCTCCAGCTCCGTCGCCTCGGAATGCACCGGTGAGTTCTCCTCCAGCACCTCCACCATCAGATCTTGCTCCTGGTTCGTCTCCAACTCCACCGCCTCCTCCTTCCTCTTCTCCGTCTCCATCGCCATCCGAAGCTAGCGACATTAGCCGGAACAATGTGAGCAAAAACGACGAATCGGATGAAGAATCGAAGAACGGAATGAGTGGAGCTCAGAAATTCGGAATCGCAATAGGAGTGATCGCGGCAGTCGCTTTGATTGGATTTGGAGGATTGGTGTACAAGAAGCGCCAAGACAATATTCGCCGGTCTCGCTATGGCTATACAGCGAGGAGAGAGCTTCTGTGAAGATCGCCATGGCTCTGGTACCTTCTCGATTAATCATTCTTTTTGCGCGAATTACGATTCCATTAAACGTTAGATCATATAGTTTTCGAATTTAGATTTCATATTCTGCTTCCTGGTTTCATCGTCTGATCTTCTCCTGAGAAGGTTTCGGAAGAGAATCGTTCAGAATTCATCAAATTCTTGAGGATTTGATTCCTCCATATTTACTCAAATTCTGCGCTCGAATTATTGTTTCTCTTCAATTACTTCCGCAAATCAGAATAATTTTCATTCCGTTGTCACCTTCAATCCCTTACCATTTGTAATGTTCATTAAATTTGCATACTGACGGAAGAATTCAACTGAATCTGTTTCTTTTTTTTTTCTTTTTTTTTAATTTAAATTAATCTGAACAATAGTGCGAGAAATTTGAAATTTTGAATGGAATTTTTTTGAAGTCAAATTTTTATTTTTTAAAAAGAGGAATCTTTTATTTTATTTTTAAATTTAAAAATTACTTTTGTAGTCTATAAATAAGTCTAATAAGAGACGAGAGATTTTTAAAATTTTGTGTAATTGTAATTTTGTCATTTTGTCTTTTTATGCTTTTATTTAATGAACTAAAAAAAAATAATTATTACTTATTTGTGACAAAAAATTTTTTTTTACTGTTATTGTTATGATTAAAAACATGTTACTGTTTGATTTTCAACTTGAATCACTTTTGAATTAATTTATTTGAATGATTAAAGATATGTTATATTATAATGTTAAATAGAATTTCAAAAGTAATATTATTCTTAAATTTTTTACAAAAATTCTTGAAGTTCTTCAAGTTACTAATAGTATCTAAAAGTAATAGTACTGTATTTTTTATTTTTTATTTTTTTAAAATTAAATGTATTAATAAATTTTTTAAAATTTTAAAATATTTTTCTTATAATGACATATTTAAAATAAAATATCAACGATTTACATACAATATTTTTTTTAAAAAAAAAAACTTTTAGATGTTGAAAGGTATTACTGAAATAATTCAATTAATTAAGACGTTTAAATGTTAAAATATTATTCGTGATTTTACTAAATATCCAAAATCAAACTATCATTTTCCGTTTTAATTTTAAGATATTTTACTCCAAAGTATTATATTTGGAGCATACTATTTCAAAAAAGAAAAATACATAGGATAAATAACCCATTTGGTCTTAAAATTCAATAAAATTTAATTTGTAATAATTTAAATCTCACACAACAATATATATAAAATTTTATTAAATTTTAGTAATACCTTTTCCGATATGAAATCATTAAAAAATTTAAAGTGGATCGAGATTAAATAGCTACTCAACAAAAAAAAAAGTTTCTAATGGCAAAATAAAATAGGGAGTACTCCAAATATGGAATCTCAGAAAATAATGTTTGAAAAAAAAAAAGACCTCATCTAAATTTGCGACCCACCATTAAAAAAAAAGGGTTCAGCTGAGCTGATTAAGCGACCAAGCAGGGCTTCCAATATGAGCCTATTTGGGCTTCGAATATGGGCCGAAAGTTTGGGCTTCCAATATGGGCTGACGGGTTGGGATTCCAATATGGGCTGACGGGTTGGGCTTCCCATATGGGCCGGTGGTTTGGGTTTCCAATATGGGCCGATATGAACTTCCACGATGGGCCGATTTGGGCTACATTATAGGCCCATTTGATCTTCCACTATGGGCCGATTTTGGCCTCCAATATGGGATTTTGGGCCTATATTATGTGCCTAATTGGGCTTCTCATATGGGCCTAATTGGGCTTCCATTATGAGCCCATTTGGGCTTAGTAACTTTTGATAGGATCCGGTGTGTTTTTTGTATTGGGCTTCATGGGCATCGCGATCCACCAAAAGTAGTAGTCGTTACAGGTAAAACAAAGCGGCTAAGATATCGCTTTCCCCATGGGCAACCAAACCTTCATTTCCCATAGCTTCCGTTTTCCCTACCCTAATTTCCTTTCGTGGACACCTCGTCTGAGACCTAGACTGCTTTGCTGTTCTTCATCTCCTACTGCTTCCACCCATGTTTTTTCCACTCAGTCAAGTTGAACCCGAGCTAAATTGGGTTAGATGACTTTTTTGGTTGGATTGAGTTAGCCATGTCTATTTCAGGTTAAGGCAAGCTGCCCCTTGTTAGAATTGGTCAATCCATTAGAATAGCTTGAAGTTGGTCATGCCATAAGAATAGGCTTACTTCGTTAGTTTCCTTTGAAATCGGATCTATTAGTTAATCTTTTGCCAATATAAATAGAATATGTCCTCAATAGTGTGAGGTACAGTTTTGCATAAACTTGATATGGTATCAGAGCTCAAATAAGATCCACGAGATCCATAGCCTCTGCTGTTAAACATGTCAATCCCAATCAACACAATGTCTTCTCCGTCGATCAGTCAGGTGATTAGTGTTAAGCTTACACAAGAAAATTATCTACTGTGGTCTACCCAAATCCTTCCCTACTTGCGTAGCCAAAACCTTGTTGGTTTTGTGGATGGTTCCATGCCTGCACCAAGCCAGACGATCGCCGTTGAACCAAGTGAAGAAACAGGGAATCGCAAAATTATCATCAACCCTGAGTTCACAGTCTGGTACCCCCAGGACCAGCTGGTACTCAGCCTCATCAACTCATCAGTCACTGAGGAGGTTCTCAGCACGATGGTTGGAATCACCACTGCACGAGAAGCCTGGATTACGCTGGAGCGACAATTTGCTTCCACATCTCGAGCAAGAGCAATGCAGATCCGTATGGAACTCTCTACTATCCAGAAAAAGGACATGACAATTGCTGACTACTTTCGTAAAGTAAAACATCTTGGTGATACACTTGCTGCCATTGGCAAGCGAATAGAGGATGAAGAACTCATCGCCTACATGCTGCAAGGACTTGGTCCAGATTATGATCCTCTAGTCACAAGCATTACAACCAGAACAGATGTATACACTGTCAGCGACGTGTATGCTCACATGCTGAGCTATGAGATGCGGCACTTGCGTAAGGGTACATTTGAGCAACTTTCATCTGCTAACAATGTCAATAGGATATCCATTCGTGGAGGTGCCAATGGAGGTCGAGGTAGTCGCGGTCGGAGTCGTCAGTTAAATAGTGGTCATGGACAATCAAGGCGTACTGTGAACAATCCTGGACGTCAACCATCAAAGACACAAAGCAGCTCAGGCATTGTCTGTCAGATTTGTGGTAAGCCCAATCACGATGCTTTGCAATGCTGGCACAGATTCGATCAGGCATATCAAGCCGAAAATAATCTCAAACAAGCAGCTTTGGCAACTAGTGGATACACTAGTGACACAAACTGGTATGTTGACACTGGAGCCACAGATCATATCACCAATGACCTAGAGAGGCTTACCACCAGAGAACGCTACACTGGCACCGACCAAATTCAGGTTGCAAATGGCGCAGGTTTGTCTATCTCTCATATTGGGAATTCATTAATTTCTGGTTCATCTCTTGTTCTGAAACATATCCTATATGCTCCTAAAATCAATAAGCACCTAATTTCAGTACAAAGACTAGCATCTGATAATAATGCTGTTGTAGAATTTCACCCAAACTATTTTTTGGTTAAGAACCGAGTCACGAAGAAACTCCTGCTCCACGGTAGATGTAAGAATGGCCTATACGTTCTACCGCATAATTTCAGTCAAGCCTTGCTGACAGCCAAACTTTCGAAAGAACAATGGCACAGAAGGCTAGGGCACCCTGCATCTCCAATTACCATTAGAATTCTACAAGATAATAATTTAGCTATAGATACTAATATTCCCTCTTCCTCAATTTGTAATGCTTGTCAATTAGGGAAAGCACATCAATTGCCATTTGGTTCTTCTCAGCATGTATCTACAGCACCCCTTCAATTAATTCACACTGATGTATGGGGTCCATCCATTGCGTCAGTAAATAATTCCAAATATTATGTTTCCTTTGTTGATGATTTTAGTCGTTATGTTTGGATTTACTTTCTGAGATGCAAATCTGATGTTGAGTCTGTGTTCCTTCAATTTCAAAAACATGTTGAAACTATGCTAAATACCAAAATTCGCTCCGTCCAATCAGATTGGGGGGGTGAATACCATCGGTTACACAATTATTTCAAATCCACAGGCATTGAACATCATATCTCCTGTCCTCACACACACCAGCAGAATGGGTTAGTCGAAAGAAAACACAGACACATTGTAGAAACTGGCCTTGCTTTACTCGCTCAAGCCAACATGCCTCTATCCTACTGGGATGAAGCTTTCAACACAGCTTGCTTTCTTATAAATAGAATGCCCAGCCGAACCATACAACAAGACACACCACTTCATAAATTGTTTGGTAAAAGTCCAGACTACTCCATGCTTAGGGTGTTTGGCTGTGCTTGCTGGCCTAATTTAAGGCCTTACAACAACAAGAAACTGAGTTTCAGAACTACTAGATGTATATTCTTGGGTTATAGTTCTTCTCATAAGGGATATAAATGCTTAAATAGAAGTACAGGACGTATTTACATCTCTAGAGACGTGGTTTTCGATGAAAATATTTTTCCTTTTGAAGAATCTAAGCCACCAAACAAAACCACAAATCCACATCATCCTGTTCTACTTCCAGCCTTAGCCAAACTTGCTAGTTTTTACACTGAAAATGCTCTTACAGATATTGAACCAGTTGTTAGTAATTCCCATATGAATGATGGTCAAACTGATAATATTGCTAGTGACAACTTGTCTGGTGTCAGCTTATCTTCTGCAGATAATACAAGAAGTTCAGAGGAAATTGCAGAATATGAAGCTGAGAGCAGTTCGATCAATGCTCAAAACCAAACTCATGAACATGTGTCTGATCAACCAACTGAAGCAGCTAGTCAACATCCAATGCGAACAAGGTTGAGAAATAACATTGTACAAGCTAAACAATTCACTGATGGAACTATCAGATATTCAGAAACCTCAAGAAAATTCGCAAGCGCTGTAACTATCACAACTCCGATCATAGAGACTGCTACTGAACCTCGAAACCTGCAGGAAGCCATGCAACATCCAGGATGGAGAGGAGCAATGAATGATGAGCTCTCAGCGCTAAAACGAAATGCCACTTGGGATCTAGTTCCACCCAAACCTGGAATAAATCTCATTGATAGTAAATGGGTGTATAAAGTGAAAAGAAAAGCAGATGGGTCAGTTGAAAGATTAAAAGCAAGATTAGT